CTCAAACTGGCATATCTAAGCAAAAAGGAATCTTTCGCATTACACCTTTCCTGCAGTACTTCATTAAGAAAAAAGAACCTCGGCACTCTGGAATGCATTGATGGCTTCACAAAGAGTTTTGCATACTTTACTTGTCGAAGGCTAGTATCAGCAAGCTTTGATGTATTCACATAATTGATGGTTGCCTAGCGATGGCGAGGTTCGAAGAGCAGAATCTATCGAAATCGCTTGAGTCAAAGCTCCGCTCGTCGACCGCAGACGGATTTCCTGGGGACTATTGTCTTTCGGGCGTTTTGAGTGCTAAAGGAATGACAAGCTGGCTGTTGGCGTCGAAGAGCCGCTTGTTTGGTAGGTCCAACAACGTCGCCGGCATGAAGTGACATCGCCTCTTCGGAGTGCAGCGAAGCTGCTGAAGCCGAAGAGGTGGACGGCGAGGCCTCACCTTCGGATCTGTGTTGCGAGTCAGAGGAAGAGACTCTGGCTGCTGGCACACGGACAAGGTTCGAGTCGGGACGTCGCTTTAGATCACCGGTGGACGGATTGAGGCCTGAGGAGGAGAAGACAGAGCTTTGAACAACTGCTCCTGAAGGACTTATTCGACTTCTTTGAACGACTGGTTCGCTGGTCGCCGAGGATGATCCGCTATTCTGGCCGCCTGTACGAACTCGAGGCTGGATCATTGCTTGACCTTGTTCTGATGTCATTCTCAAGAGTTGCCTCTGACCCATTCGCTCGGCGGAATATCTGTCCGGTTCTCTTGTAACAAATAAAGGGCTTTTCGGAGATGAGTTCGCTGAAGCACATGATAATTGTGCTCCTGAGACTTGTATCAGTGGCTCCTGTGCGCATACAAATAAGCATTTAATGAATGAATCATACGCTATATTCATAGTTTGCTTTATCATAATCTTTTCGTTATTATTTAGAAAGTTTAATTTAAATTCGTCCCAATCACTCGCAATTCACTAAAGTTAATCGCCTACAATTCCCTATTATCGTTTGAAAAATATACATTTTCATTATTAAGTAAGGATAGATTTTTACCTCTTTTAGCAATATTCAGTAAATCTGAGTAGTGAAACAACTAAAATTATATCAATTTCCCTATTTTTAATACTACTCGATCAACTGTGCGCATATACCTATAAGGTTAGAGTGATGCAAATTTAATGAAGATATATGATTCAAGAAAATATTTAAAGACTTCGAATAACAAAATAATTGGAACGATTTTTGGATAGCTTTTAGCTTGAGACGCCAACATTAACAACACGAAATAAAAAACTACACAGATACACAAATAACTA